ACATCCGTAAAAGTGGTTAATTCGTAAAAATGATTCTATAGCCCTGCGATTTTTTTAAATCACGTTTTGTGAATTGTAATTGTAATTGTTCAGTGCATAGGCTGTGCCTTCCGCTAAGAAGGCTTATCTAGGGACCAACCCCCTAGTCTATACACCTACTGTCCTTCCCGTTGCACTCGTCAGCTCGTGCGATACTCTAGACACACATGGGTGGTCGTATCCGGGTCCTCCCCTGGGTAGGCTCGTGTCCGTCCAGGTTCTGGTACATTAACTTATCTATATGCATGGTAATTATACTTTAAAAACTCACCTTTTGATTATAATGTCGACAATGCTGAAACTAAATAAAGGTTAGCGATCCATATAAGGTGTGTGCTGCGACGGAGTAGTAATTGAAGGAAATGAGGTTCTGTAGTGAAGTATAGGTAATTCTAAAATAGGTAAATCAATTAATCATTAGCTGCTAAAAGTTACTAATAAATGGGTACGATAAATCACTCATCAATGAGTATTGCCACTCCCACTGAAAAATGGGCAAAACCTTAATCATAAATGGATATTCGATTCCTACCGTGTATTTAAAGTAAAGTTAGGATCTTATCAAGCAAGCACACACCTTTTACGATTCTTATCCTACTTACGGTTTCCTGCACATACGACTTTTCCTAGATACAAGCTTCGTCCAGTATACATTGGCTGTCTCCAACCGGCATGATCTTTTCTGTCTGCTTCCTCTTGCAAGTTTAATTCTTCTTTTCTTGTTCAAATTTTCTTTTTCTCCTATTGATCTTCTGGTCGTGTTCCCATTTGTCCTCAGGCAGTTCATATTAGTACATGATAGGAAGAAAGAAAGAAATAGAACAAGTTAAGTGTGAGCCGCATGCATTGGTTACTTATTTGGGTCATGGTGTTGTCTTCCCTATTTATTTGCCTCTATTCGCTCTCATATCGCAACGTTTAACTCTGGATCAACAATAGAAAAGGGCCCATCAGCACTCGTAAACAAACCGCTCCAAAGCCCCCCACTCACAAAGCGAAGGCCACCCACGCAAACCAACACCATCATCGGATAGGGGAAACTTCCACCTACACGAAGACGGTGTTGGCCCGCGTGAGCAGCCCCCGATCCGTGAGGAACGGGCCCTGGACGGTCTGCCCACAAATGCCGATGGGCCCCCCTCCATTGTTGATCCAGAACTCACCCCCTTCCCTCACACTATTATGGTCGGAAAAGAGAACCCATATTTAGTAATCTATCGCGAACTGCGATGCAGAAGATATTAATAGCAAACTAATCTGGAACTGGTCTAAGACATATGACCCAGTGAGTATTGACACCTAACACTGTTGTGAATGAGCACGGACGCGAGATTTACTAGAGTATTAAATGCAAAACGCAAATTCAAAATAAAACTTGACAAGACATCGTCAATCCCCTTATTCTTGAGCAGGGTCTGACGATATGAATCTGATTTTTGATCAGTGAACGGGCCCCATATGGTACATTTTCTCACTACCAACCTGTCATTTCCAGCCTATCTGAACTATTTAATAAATGGAAACCATAACATGGGTTACGCTTCCCCTAAGCGGGCCCTCCGCATCCTATCTCTGTCTTATCTCAAATGCCAATGCTTTGAATGTATCAATATATACATTGGAAATGACGTTCAATCAAATAAACCCATACCCCACTCACTTGGCCAGGCTTCAGAATCGTCCAGTGGGCAGTGCGCTCTACACTCCAAGTTCCCTTTCTTTCAAATTCACCCCAAATTTGATATTTTACCCCTTTGAGTGTTGATTAATCACAATGAAACATTGTGACAGAGCACGGACTTGAGGTTACTAGAGTATTAAATAATCTAGGTCCTATTTAGGATTATATCTGAAAAATCCAAATTTGGCCAACGCCCACCAAATCACGTTTTGTGAAGCTACATAAATGTATTTGAATCTGGGAGTAGAATGCGCACACTGGTGATAACGGAACGGTCCTCTGGAAGATCCGGAACATCCGTAAAAATGGTCAATTCGTAAAAATGATTCTAAAGCTCCGATTTTTTTTTAAATCACGTGTTGTGATGCTACGTGAATACATTTGAATCTGGGAGTAGAATACACACACTGGTGATCACGGAACGGTCCACTGGAAGATCCGGAACATCCGTAAAAGTGGTCAGTTCGTAAAAATGATTCTATAGCTCTGCATTTTTTTTAAAATCACTTTTTGTGAAGCTTTATGAATGGGTTTGAATCTGGGATCACGGAACAGTCCGGAAAATCCGTAAAAGTGGTAAATTCGTAAAAATGATTCTAAGGCTCCGATTTTTTTTTAATCACGTGTTGTGATACTATATGAATAAATTTGAATCTGGGAATAGAATGCACACACTGGTGATCACGAAACGGTCCTCTGGAAGATCCGGAACATCTGTAAAAGTGGTCAATTCGTAAAAATGATTCTATAGCTCCGTGATTTTTTATTAATCACTTGTTGTGTAGCTATATGAATGAATTTTAATTTAAAACAGACAACCGTATATTTTAAGATTGATTCTTGTCAATGTGAATATCTCGACAATCGCATTGCCCAGGCTTTGCAAAAAGGCTTAGTGTATAGGTCACAACTACAAAATTAAATTTAAATCTCATTTACTAATCTTTTCATAAAAACCAGGTAACTTTTGGGTATTTTAACGAGATTTTTTTTTACGAATAAAGTGGCCAATAAATAAAGAGTAAATTTGTTACCCAATTAAAAAATGTTGTATAGGTGAAAGTTCATGCTTTTCCGTTGATTCTGACTCCAAACCCGTTCGAACCACACCCAAATTCAAAATGCACCAATACCAACAAGCTTTGCAAATTAGCAAAATGGGAAGTATTGAAATTTTAACCATATTTTTAAAAACAAAATTTTTGTATAGTTATAATAATTCTACTAATTCAATTCCAAGATTCCAAGTTCAGGGAAGGTCTGCCGAAGGACAGATAAGTCCTGCTGAAGCTCAGGGATGTCCTTCCGAGGTTCAGGGAAGTCCTTCCGAAGTTCAGGGATGTCCTACCGAAGTTCAGGGAAGTCCTGCTGAAGTTCAGGGAAGTCCTACCGAAGTAAAGAATCTCCTTCCAGCAACATGATCGCACAATTGGTCAAAAAGACGAGCCCCTGAACAGGATGATGCCCAATGAGCGTGGGGAAAAACCTGCCCTTTATCCACGAAATGTTATAAACAGGGAGTTCGCAATGGCAACTCTTCCCGTTCAAATGGCTTCAAACAGGTGCCCTGGTTTTCTTCTTCCTCTCCGCATTTAAAGCTTATTGCTTATCGCATATTAGCTTATTGCGTACTCTCAACTTAGTGTTCTAGATGCACTTCCACAGTTATTAATTGACAGCTTTCGATGCCTGTACCATTTTTGCATTAGTATAATTGGGTTGTTCGACTTTGAAAAATATTCAGATTTTTATACATCATCTGATAGAGCTTCGTTTTCTGAGCCCAACGATATTTTTATCAATCCCGTAGACATTCATCTCGATTTTTAAATCAAGATTCAAATTCTTGATCGTTGACACTAATGGCGGTAAGCTTCAATCGGTATTATCCGCGGATTAAATCCCGGTCCAGAATGTCCGGCTGCTTTGATGTCGACATCAGAGTTATTCAGCACGATTCTATGCAAACAATTCGCAGATTATCCAAACAGGCACAGTATTAAAAGTTAATCCGAGTTGGAGCTTACCGCCATAAATCTTTTCGTTGACAGCTCGCTCCCATCCAGTATTTTACGATCGATTATGGCCGCCATAAACTGGCTGAGTTTCTGGTAGGGAACATAAGATCTGAAGTTTGGGTTGTGTCGTTTGACGTGTAAACGATCAAATTTGAACGTTTATACGTCAAATGAAACAACCCAAACGTCAAATCATATGTTCCATACCAAAAACTCAGCCAGATTGTGGCGGCCATAAGCACTCGTAAAATGCTGGATACAACATCCCACCAAGGGGCGCTAAGATGGTGATTTTTGCTAATGTAGTCGTACTTATTTAAAATAGTTCCAGTGTACCAAAATTGATGAAATTTTGGATTTCGGTTCCATTTTTAATGCAGATAACGAATATGTATTTATCTCAATACCCATAAACAGCCCAATTGTGTGGCAAGTCCAATCATACTCTATGCCCAGGGAAGACGAGAAATTTCCCAACCCGAAAAATTCCTAGACCGAACCGGGAATCGAACCCAGTCACCCTCAGCATGGTCTTGCATTGTAGCTGCGTCTTTACCGACTGAGCTAAGGGAGTGCCCTGATGGTCCCTCGCAATTCCAGCATTGTTTTGTAATAATATGAGCAATAATAAAAAAAATAAAATTTAAAGCGATCTCTCCAACTTCCGCTGTTTCTTCACAATTCTGTCTAATTTTCATGCTTATTGTACGGGTACTAGTCTCCCGAAAGTCTCCCATGTTATTTCTGATGTGTTCTACGGTATTTCGACGCCCATTATCTTTGTATGATGATCTTGAGTTCCTAGTTGCTCTTATAAAACCGCAACACCAGTGTGGAAAATAGACAGTGTCTCCGGATGTTTTCTTAACGAGAATCACTCCATCACTCCATCGTATCGTATATGCTCCATTTTGCAGCTCTTCTTTCACTTTTACTTTGTTGACTTCATTGTACGGGGAAAATATGTAGGTAGATATATACATTATTAGCAATGGGCTGTGATATAACTACAACGCGATGGCTATTCAGAATGGTTCAAGGGATGTGAAATGAGGGAATATTTAAATTTACCACAATTTAAAGTATTCCAATGCAACAGTAAATTTGTTGAAAATATGAAACGCACCTTTGAAAAGTGAATTAAAAAGTGAACAACGTCCAGTATCATCACTTACTCCCACATGCAATCTGCCTCGACCAACCTGGCACAACGCACCCTAACCCTCATTCCTACAGTAAAATATTCCGTTCTATTCCCGCAGAGTCTATCACGCGAAAGCCATCAACAACATTTTGGACGCCATCGGCAACACACCCCTGGTCAAGCTAAATAAAATTCCCAAAGAATTCGGCGTGAAGTGCAATGTTTGTAAGTAGAACCTCTATTCATACCGACCTTCCGAAAATGCGAATCCTTATCCCTTTCTAATCCCTCTAACCAGACGTCAAATGCGAATTCCTCAACCCGGCCGGTTCGGTCAAGGACCGCATCGGTCTCCGGATGATCGAGGAAGCCGAAGAGAAGGGTCTGCTGAAACCGGGCGCAACCATCGTGGAACCAACTTCCGGAAATACCGGCATCGGGCTGGCCCTGGCGGCCGCCGTCAAGGGCTACAAATGCGTAATCGTCATGCCGGAGAAGATGTCCAACGAAAAGGTCGACACCCTGCAAGCGTTGGGCGCCAAAGTCATCCGAACACCGAACGAAGCTGGCTTCGATCAACCGGAAGGGCTGATTGCCGTTGCCCAGAGACTGCAACGGGAACTGCCCAATGCCATCATCCTCAACCAGTATACCAATTCGGGCAATCCGCTATCTCACTACGATGGAACTGCGACTGAAATCATCAAACAGCTGGACGGAAAGGTTGATATGGTGGTTATGGGAGCCGGAACCGGAGGAACCGCCACCGGACTGGGTAGGAAGCTGAAAGAACACAACCCGAAATGCAAGGTGGTATGTTCGGATCCGCTGGGATCGATCATGGCCTTTCCGGAAAGTTTGAACAAGACTAGCTGCAAATTCTGGGAAGTAGAAGGCGTGGGATACGACTTCATTCCGACGGTGTGTGACCGCGGTGTGGTGGATGAGTGGATCAAGTACAACGATAAGGATGCATTAACCACGGCCCGCAAGCTGATCGCCGATGAAGGACTTCTTTGCGGTGGAAGCGCTGGGGGCAATACCTTTGTTGCATTACAAGCTGCCAAGCAGCTCAAGGAAGGCCAAAATGCAGTAGTTATTCTGCCGGATAACATCCGTAACCACCTGACCAAGTTTGTGTCTGACAATTGGATGGAAGCGAGAAACTTCATGGAATCCGTCAATGTTCAAAATCACAAGTAAGTTTGAACCATTTTCCAGCGAGACAACGTGATAATATATTACCTAATCATTTAATCTCGAACCTAGATGGTGGAATAACCAGGTATCAACGCTAGACCTGGCCACGCCGGTCACGATCACCGTGGACGTTTCGATCAATGAAGCCGTAAGAATCATGAAGAGCCGCATGTTCAACCAACTTCCTGTCATCAATAACGACGGTTCGATCCGAGGTGTGGTGTACCTGGCAAATCTGATCGGAAAGTTGCTGAACGGTATGGTTCAACCAACGGATCCGGTTTACCGTGCCATCTTCAAGCAGTTTGTCAAAATTGGCCGCAACTGCACGATGGGACGAGTTGCTCGCATTCTGGAGAAGGATCCGTTCGTTCTGGTGACGGAATCGAACATCATAAGTAATTTTGATTGGAAATTGTTTAAAATATGAAATGCCTAATTTTTCGAAACTATAATTTTCAGATGGCAACAAGGAACAGACGGAGCTGGTCGTCGGATTGATCACCCAGAGGGATATTTTGCATTACATGACCGATGTTTGAACACCGGAATCAGTTTTTTATTTAAACTACATTAGTAATAAGCAACAATTTTTAAGTGATAAGTAAAATAGTATGAGCTTAATATATGTTATGAAACAAATCTTGGAAATAGGTAATTGATTCGAAAATATCACGACTTACCTTAGTGATGCTGCATTTTCAATTAATTTGAACACTAAATTTCAATCACTATTGGTATTTCTTTCCAAAGCTAATGCACAATAATTGTAATTATTATTATTATGTATAATTATTACCTAAAGCTGACATATTTAAAAAACAACATCCGGACACCAACAGAAAAAAAAAAACTTCCACGCACAGTTTTTTTTTCAAATTTCCACGCGCTGTAAAGCTAGGATTGGGCGTCTCCGAGGTCGAGATCGATTTTTTGTACACGCTCTCCCGGGGGGAACCTCTCGATTAAAGAGCCTGAATTTATAAAGAGGCGACATCTTATCTATTTGACAGGTCTTCTGTTCGTTTGGAATGACTTTTCCTATGACTTTGACAGACAATCGATTGTTCCAATTTTGACATGTCGTCTCTTTATAAATTCAGGCTCTTTACTCTCGATTAATTCAGTGCCAACATTTCAAAGGGGCGTAATTGCATTTGTAAACAATGGCTTTAGCCGTCGATTTCTCGTAAATAAAAGCTCACTCCTCCAAATTAACAATGCTAGTTGGTAGAGGAAACATTCTTCTATCTGTTGGTGCAATTAATTTTCATGAGTGAGCTTTTATTTGCGAGAAATTGACGGCTTAAGGCATTGGTTACAAATGCAATTACTCCCCCTTTGAAATTATGGCACTGAATTTTTGATTGTCCACTTCAAGCTGAACATTGCATTAGGTCCTAACTAACATTGGCAGATTCTCTTCGTAGACTTTCTCTTTGCATCCTCACGGCCATGACATTCCCAGCTATTTTCAGCTCACAGGTCGACGAAAGAAGCTATGAAGCTATTATCTACACGGATAGAAATCTCCTTATACCTTTTGGAAAATTTCCATTGCTGATTATTCATAAATTGTATAAGTCAACTAATAAGCAGACGCCATGCAAAAAGTTAATAAAGATCATGTGTCAAATGAAATGTATAAGCGGTCACACATACCTTTAATGCATTCTAAGAGGACCTATGTGGTTTGTCTAATGGAATGTATAAGGCTGATGCTTTGGCAAAAATGAATAAGTGAAACACATTAATCAAATAATTGATTTTCGTTTCGTGTATCTTCTAATACGACAAACATGATAAGAAACGGTTCTGTGCTCAAGTTATTAACGAAATAGGAAGTCGATGAAGAGAATCGATCAATGCAAGACCAACCATTTAAAATGGCCTTGACTCCATTTTGTAAACAAACCTTGTTAGGCCATTTTCTCGCGAACCGAAACCTTCATTCGCAAACCTAAACCACAATCGGGTAGAGGAGAATTTCCCCTACCTGTCCATTATGTTGGTTTGCCTTTGCGGACTTCGGTACGCGAGAAAATGGCCTAACAAGGTTTGTTTACAAAATGGAGCTAAGGCATTTCAATTGTTGGTCTTGAATGTTACTTAGGACGTAATGCAAGTTCAGCTTGATTTTCCGCTCAAAAAATCGATTAACTTGCTGCGATTATCAGATAATCGCAGCAAGTTAATCGATTTTTTGAGCGGCAAATCAAGCTGAACATTGCATTACATTGCATTGCATTGCATTACTATTGAAGAATCAAATAGACGATTGACTCACAGATGGCGAGTGGGTGAAAATGGGAATGAAGTTTTGATATCTGTTTATGTACCTGATTATTTTTTACTGAAATGGTTATGGAACTTTATATGAACGTTTGTGTGAAAAAGTTTTAAACTTATGTATTATGTTCTTTTTTTTTTTTGGAAATGAGCCTTACAAATAATGGGTTGTCAACTAGGGGCATCCCACTCTAAACTTTGTATTTTTCCTAATATACATATAAAGATCTTAGTGATATCTAAGATACCCAAAAATACTTAAAATTACTTAAGAAATATCTAGCGTTAGTTTATTTGCTTGGTTGCTATGTCAATTTAATTTGCTTGTTTATCCAATGTCAGGCGTTTTGTGTGGATATTGGTTAAATTGTTAAACAATTAACATTCATTTGATTAAGAGCGTGAACAGCTTTAGGTGTTCCGAACCATCTTCGGTGTAATCTGTTCACCATGTACCAGAAAGAATTAATTCTGATAGGCATTGGAACCTTTGTTGTTACTCGTTCCAGTTCCATAATTTGTATAACCAATCTAATAGTGAATTTTGTGTTGTTCTTTTTTTCCGCTCGGTTCTTGGCTATGTGACCATGAAAATGCCTGATAAGAACATAATTGGATGTACGAAACCATGTGACCATACTATCACCTATATTCTCGTTTACGTCCAGACAGTATGTTAACGAGAATATGGGCGTATTGCGGAAACGCAAATCTCTTAGCTTTCCACCTTCTAAACGCAGATACTGTTTATTACAGTAGATAGGGGTAAGAGGGGCATAGTGAGCATCCCGTGCTCCAGCTTGAACTTCCGGCCGTTCGGAACAAATTGGTTAGTGGTAGGATCAATATCATAGTGATATTGAACCTACTACCAGTTGATTTGTTTCATGCAGCTGGAGATCCAGAGCCAAAGTGTGGAATGCTCACTATGCCCCACCTGTTCACTATGTCCCTTCTTCCCCTAATAAACCATAAAGGCCACTAGACACAGTATAAGCAACATAGTCAGAATTATTTAAACGAATGGATTTAGTTTTCGTTGTTTTCCTACGTATAATTAAAACAAGTAAAACGTTGTGTTCAATGTGATATAATAATTGCATTAATTTTTCAAAGTAAACATTATAGTAGCTTATTCAAAAGGAGAGTTAAAACGGCCATTCCCATTCAACACCCAGTAGATCGACAAACTTTTCTTCCTGCATTTGCTCAGGCCTGCACGTTTTCACGGCAACAGTTCCTCGATACTGCAAAAACAAAATTGTAGTCAGATGATTCGCTGCTAGGTAGGTCCACGGTACGAGAGGGAGAGAAAGAGAAAAGGACTAGTTGTCATTCATATCTGAATACACCAATATTCATCATCGCAGGATCTTTGTGCACCGAGCGGTTATATGTGAGCCAATACACATTTTGAGATCAGTCGGTCGGTAAATATCGTTCAACTTGTACTGAAAATATCATTCTTTGTAACTAGCTCTTGAAGCATATTTACAAGCTGAATCGCTGAAAAATATAAATTAAATAATACTAATTCCAACACATAATAAAAATACTTAACACTCCTATTTGTATAAATACAAGACGACCGACAACAACAAACACATGCTTTAGCAACCGGTTATCAAAAAATAAGTGTTACTTCGATGGAAATGTATAGCCATGGTTGAAAATACTTAAAAATACTTAAGAATACTTACGCGGGATTTACAAATATTTTATTGATATTAGGTACGAAGTTTAGAGTGGGATGCCCCTAGGTTGTCAAGAACATTAATAAAATTCCACACATTTTTATTGACGGATTTCCATGTGAAATTCCACATGATTTTGATGTGACTATACATAAACAGAATCCACTCAGAAGCACACATGAAATTTATGAGTCATGTGTGGTTTGAGAATTTTAATGGGAAGTCAGTAAGGTCCATGGATGGCTTTGTATTGTCGGTCAAATTTACGTGGAATATATCGCGAACTGGAAATCATTAATTTAAAGCAAAGACAACAAATCAAGAAGACTGGCAAATTTGCCAGAATCTAAGCGACAGATACAGTAGCGCTGCACTTGACTGAAGGTGGAAGCAACGCATAGAAAAATGAACAAATACACAAACCCTTCTTCTGAGGATGTAATCTTTGCTATCAAATTCGTTCGAAGCATTTACCTTTGAGCGGCAGATGACGCGATTGTACCTGTCTCATAGCGTTTGTATGAGAAAATGGAAGAGTTGCCAGTCTTCTTGATTTGTTGTCTTCGTTTAAAGGCAACCTATTCGCGATATATTCCACGTAAAGTTGATCGATGTTACAAAACCATCTATGCACCACATACATACAGACATACACACTTAATCTAGCTCGATAAAATCTCCAAAAGCCGATTACCTCGGCATTTACTTTTGATGATATCTCTGCAAAATATCTGTATATTAGCTGATATCGCAGTAAAACGTTTTTGCAAAATAGATCGCAGAACTACTCGACTGTTGGAATCTCGGTGAAAAAATTTAAGTGTGTAACACATTGAATTTTTCTCACTGTAAAACATTGCCGCTGAAACATTACCGTCATCTGCTGAGTACACTGTGGTGGGCAGTACGCTGAACGGATGGCGGTAGTGTGTAAACGTCAAACGCAAGGGAATTTTTGCTAAGATACTTTTGAATTGACCGTTAAATACTTGTTCGAAGAACAACTTGCCAGTGTTATGTCTGTTTGTCTGTGTATGAACCTTACCGACTACCATAATCATTACCATTAAAGTTCTCAAATCATAAATAAAATGGTTCGAATATAATTCGCTTCCTAAAATGAAGAATGGAACAAAATCTAGTCGAGCATGCAAGCAATCGAAAATATCCGTATCCCCAGATGGATTGCAAACCATGGAGGAAAAATGCAACTGTTGTGTGTGTGTATGTATGTGTGTATTCAATCTAACCCCCACTGGCCGGCAGTGGTATTATGGAAGAAGTTTGCTTACAACAATCCTTGATGTAATAATTTAAAGCAAGTTTAGTCCGGGAGTTAGAAAGCGATAGCTCTACTGCAGATTCACCAACCCATTTCAGAGTGCCTGGTAATTCACGTCCATTCCGAGGTTACTTTCACATACAATATGATTGATTATAAATCAGATGGATCTCACCAAATTCTGCCTCCGAAAAAGGACCGGTTAGTTCACTCGCGGTAATCAAAAAAAAATCTTCCGCGTTGTTTTTACAACCCAACACGACATTTTGAATCACATTCGAAGTTTTTCATTTGCACCGAATTTTTGCTTGGAAGGCAGAACGCCAGCACCAAGAAAAAAAACCACAAACAAGCGAAATTAAAAACCGACCGACACCACAGCAACACAGCTACTCGAAACAAATTCTTGTCCCAGATTTTTCACGTTAATTACAATATCACAAAAAAAAACTTCTTAAGACGTGATAAATCTTAATTTACACTTATCCACACGCGAAAACTAATATTTGTTTGATTTGGTACCATTGAGGAAAAATGCAACTGTTGGAGTTTTATGGTACATTCGAGGCTGCGTACGCGGCAGTTGTGTAGGTCAGATCAATCGATGAAGAAGGTATCTTTTTTGTATCAGTTGTTGCAAGCAAGACCAAGATGGCACCAATCCAACTAGTGTCTGCTATCACATTTGGAGGTTAAGTGAGACGCTTGGGCAGACTCAGAAATCGTTCTAGGGTGGCTTTCATCGCACCCGAGAAAATGGAAGACGTATGTGGCGAATCGCACTTCGACTGTTTTGGGGCTACACAGCAAAAAAAATGTAATATCGATCAATGTAATTCAAGCTGATGTATGAAATAATGATGTAATAGCAAAAAGCAGATACAATATTACATCAATGGATGTAATTTTGTTCGCAAAATCGATGTACATCGTACAACGTTATATTACACAACCGATGGATTGACCTGGTTGCAGCAGTTTGGATGTAATATTCAACAACTTTTTTTTCTGTGTACTACCCTCGTTACTACCAAACGGTGGAAACTAACGATTTTAAATTGGCTCAATACACATGGCTTTTATGTTTTCACATAACCATACACATTTTTTTAAGGATAATGCTAGGGGAAAGCCAGCTGTACCGAAAGTTAATATTTTCACTCCGAGTAAACTTGAGTAACTCATAATTAGTCAATAATGATCAAAGTAGTCTGGCCTTACATACATCAACAAATACAAATTACAGTGTGAATAAACATTATGTGTCAGAGGAGAAGGAGAATCTGAATTATTTTTATTAATTTCTTGATGCAAATCGTTATTTAATTAATTGAATTCATTCACAGCATGACATCTAAGCGAAATCTAAGAACTTTGCTTTGAAGGGAAATAAGGTAAAAATGCTTTATTGCAAATTTCATCATTTCAAATAAGAATGAATAAGTTGCGAATTCAAGATGGATGAGAGCTTGATTTGGTTCCATAAAGGAAACATAAAATTTTAAATATGGCTATACGATGACAATGTATAGTTATTATAGTTATTTTTTCTGAAAACCATGACAACCAGCATTATTTTCTAGACTTCTCTGAATGCCCAAGTATTATTGCAGAACTATTAGGTTATTGCCTCAAAGTTCTGCATTAATTCTTGGACATTCAGACAAAAGTAAAAGAATACTATTACAAAGTAGTAGTCGTAACATTGATGCCTTTCGAAGATTCAAATTGTGGTTAATTTAACCAAATGCACTTCGACAAATTTATCATATTTTGAATCTGCAAATGCTATGGTCAACGTCGACCGATAACAGCCTGCACTAGATTCGGATGAAAACGGCTAACAAAGGATTGGCACGAAGCAGTAGAAAGGTCATGGGATCTATCTATGGATGGTTATCCAGTGTAAACCACCATTTTTTCTCTTTATTTATACAGCTATTCCACTACGACGCCCACTTTCATCAGGATTCACCTTTCGACAATGGGAAGCTGCAGAATTTAGAAATATTTATCACCGTTGAACGAGGGGGACGACTCTATCTACGATGCAGAAAAGATTGTGTTTTTCTGTGGCTAGCTGCACGCACGCGGAGTAGATTGGCGTTGACGGCACCGTCGAAAAATTTGCGCTTTCAGCAAATATAGACAGTTTCTTATAGAAATTTTCGGTGGAGTGAAAGGATAGTACAAAGTCCGCCATGTTTCACGCACAGTCTGACGTTTGCTTATGGATTTTCTCATAGGAGTAAAGAGCTACAGAGTCGCCGTCAACGCCAATAGAAGGAAGATTTACGTCTATTTTAAGATTTCCTGCAAAAAGATGAAGCACGATGCAAGTAGATACGAGAAATTAAAGATGATTTTTCGAAGATTGATTCGCTAGTGTGAGATTTTTTGAGCATCTAGAATTGAGATTTAGATGTGTCGCCCCCCTCGCCGTTGAACGTCTTTCTTTGACATTTGGGGAATAAACACAACAAAGTTGCTGTGTTGCCGTGCATCGCATGTTGGGCAACTCGAGTTACTCAGAGTTGCTCAAAATTAACTAAAATATTACTCATCATCAAAAGCTGTCTTGCCCCCAGGGATAATGCAATGTTCAGCTTGAAATGGTTGATCAGGTTTTATACACTGATAAAATTTCAAAGATTGTTTTTATGTGTCCCACACATGAGTTTTTGCAATGTGATCAACAAATGATAGTTATGTGTCGGACACATACTTAATACAAAGATGAATAATAAGATGAAACTGTCGGAAGAAAAACTTTCTATTTTAGTGTCTTCTTTCACGGTCCCTTTCATCCAATGAAAACCCCCCGTATTCAAGGTAATTTTGTGGTTTTGCTGCCCCCTCGGAAGAGATGAAATTTTGCGCTCATTTTTATCAAAACAATCAAACCAAAATCAGAGATGTCCCATTTTTTAATTACTCGATTAACAACTAATCGATTATTTTTTGTTCGCTGTGCTGCAATGAGAGTGCAGCACATGTTTGAAACGATCGGTGATGATCCTGTGGAGATGTTAATGCTTATATCGGCATGATCTAACCGATTATAAATAGTTTACTTTTCGGTTCGTTAATCGATTAAACGATTATTCGAATGAAAATCGGACATCACTAGATGAATGTGAAACGTCATTTCAAATAAAAGGCCGTTCATAAATAATGATACAATTTGAAAGGGACCGGGACTAATCACAAATTACGTCTCCATGGTAACTGAAATAAACACGAGTGTTCACCGGTTGCTTAATATGTGTACACATAAAAGCCATGTGTAACAACACATACTATTGATTTAACTCATAAATTTCATGTGTGCTTCTGGGTGAATTCTGTTTATGTGTGGTCACATGAAAATCATGTGGAATTTCACATGGAAATTTGCCAATAAAAATATGTGGAATTGTATTATACCCCGTTCACATTACAGCCTATATCACGTAATATAGGCTGTCTTGCAATGAGCACTCATACATAGGATTTCCAGTGAAAACTAGATGTATAAGTGCTCATTGCAAGACAGCGTATATCACGTGATATACGCTGTAATGTGAACGGGGTATTAGTGTACCCTCTCTAGTTCTTATGTTGGCCGCGGGGGTTAACTTTACAGACTTTACATCTCGAAATACCCTGGTGAATACCTCCCTCTTGATTGCATCTAACGAATCACCCCTCGATAAAATAAAATCTTGTTCATCGATTATTTTCGTTGTTTTCCGACTAAACTCGACGAACACCATCAAACTGTCACCGAGCGTCGCGACGCCTCCGCGAACCGAATTTTGACACATCAGCTAATCATCGAGCAAAACGCGAAGGGAGAAAAAGTGCATCGCAAAGGAAAACCGATCGCGAGTCAAATTTTTTCGCTGTATGTTTATCGCGAAAGTTGTGTCCACCGTCGTCGCGAATTCGTGCGAGAAAAAGCCTGCAGATTAGTGGTTTCCAAACGGTTACAATATTGACCAAACGGGAACCGATGATGTGCTGAGTGTTGTGTATTCTCTGCATCCCCGCTGCAGTTCCTCTTTCAAGGAAGGAAGGTGGTAGATGTGGCGAAAGTTAAGCTAGCTGCTGCTGCTGCTGGCTGCCTCATCTTTCACTTTGTCGTTCTTGGTAAGCGGAGCAAGAGGAAGAAGTGAAAGAAAGAAGAAGATAATCGGTACTAGCGGAGCGGCTTAAGTTTTGAGTGTTTGGTTGAACGGGAGAAGGGGGGCGACTACTCTCACACTCTCACCGTCGTCCCCAGCTGTCGGCAGGAGCAAGAATGGCCCTTAAAAAGGTGAAAGGTAACTTCGAGCGGATGTTCGATAAGAATCTGACGGACTTGGTCCGAGGGATCCGCAACAACAAGGACAATGAAGCCAAGTACATCGCTCAGTGCATGGAGGAGATCAAGCAGGAACTGCGACAGGACAACATCAACGTGAAGGCGAATGCCGTGGCCAAGCTGACGTATCTGCAGATGTGCGGATACGACATATCGTGGGCCGGGTTCAACATCATAGAGGTGATGAGCTCGAATCGGTTCACGTGCAAACGGATTGGATACCTGGCCGCTAGCCAGTGCTTCCACCCGGACAGTGAACTGCTAATGCTGACAACTAACATGGTCCGGAAGGATCTGAGCTCGACGAATCAGTACGACGCGGGCGTGGCACTGTCCGGGCTGAGTTGTTTCATTTCCACCGATCTCTCGAGGGACTTGGCGAATGACATCATGACACTGGTAAGGCGGAGTTTGTTTTGGGATGGCGTGACGCAATTTGAACAATAATTATTCTCATTCGTCGTTTTAGATGAGTTCGACGCGGCCGTACCTTCGGATGAAGGCAGTGCTAATGATGTACAAGGTGTTCCTGCGGTATCCGGAAGCACTGCGTCCAGCTTTTCCGAAGTTAAAGGAGAAACTGGAAGATCCGGATCCGGGGGTGCAATCCGCCGCGGTGAATGTCATCTGCGAACTGGCCCGTAAGAATCCGAAAAATTACCTCTCTCTGGCACCGATTTTCTTCAAACTGATGACCACTTCCACCAACAACTGGATGCTGATCAAGATCATTAAACTGGTAAGTGTTTGTTTGTACGGTTTGACCCCGCCGGGTGCGTTTGGGCACTTTCTCTAACCACAACGATATATTTTTCACGACACAATTACGCATGAAAACTACGACGACGACGACGATGACGACGAGGGTAGTTTGCCAGCCTGACGGCTATCGAACCGGCCCTGGGGAAGAAACTGACCCATCCGTTGATTGAGTTGATTTCCAGGTTTCTACCATCACGAACATCCCAAGCTATTTAACTCATCCGTCTCGTTTGTGTTTCTGCTTCTCTTTCTTTCCCATTGCAGTTTGGTGCTTTAACTCCGCTAGAACCTCGATTAGGCAAAAAGCTAATTGAACCGTTGACCAATTTGATTCATAGGCAAGTTTTAGAAGGATGTTTTGGTTTATGTTTGTTTATGTCCTGTAGCTAGAATTTAGTAGATAGATGGGCGAGGCGTATGTGGGGAAGGAGTTGAGCAAACGCGAGAAGCTCGAGGAATTCCGGTCTGGTCAGTAGATGTCATACTTTTGCTAGATCAGGACCAAATGAAGTGGATCAACTAAGGAATCGTGAAGACTGATGGAGTTTTCATGTTTTCGAACTAAGCAGAGGATTTAGAAAGTGTGCAATAATCTATCACTAGCCGTTCAACGAGGAAAAAGCAAAGTAATTCCATAAAATGTGAGTGATAGTAACAACAATGTCACAGGCGAACTTACGGAATACGAAGTTAAAAATTTTGCTAAAGAAAGGGTAGTTGTTCCCAGATTCCCTCCTCGCTGCTTTTCCTCAATCGGAAGGGGGAATATGTTTTATGACGAGAATAAAAATAAATGCTTCTTATGCATTTTGGAGGGGCACTGGATGAATTTCTGCCCCAGCGGAAGGCAACAATGGAACGAAGAACAGTGTATATGGCTAACGCGGATGAAGTGATAGGGGTGCTTGAGAAAGATGTAATGGAAATGGACATTATGACCGCGAAGGCCATTATGGGGCCTCCCTTAGCTCAGTCGGTAAAGCCGCAGCTTCAAAGCAAGACCATGCTGGAGGTGACTGGGTTCGATTCCCGGTCTGGTCTAGGAATTTTTCGGGTTGGAAAATTTCTCGACTTCCCTGAGTATATAGTATGATTGTACTTGCCACACAATTATACTAAAGCAAAAATGGTACAGGCATCGAAAGCTCTAAATTCATAACTGTGGAAGTGCATCTAGAACACTGCGAAGAAGAAGAAGAAGCCGAAAAAACACCAACTTCATTTTTAATTTTTTTAACTTGCATATAATTGCAGGATTTTTAGGGAAACATGTTTATTCGGCTACATAAAACTAATTTTAAGATTCCTGTAGTGTAGATTTGGTCGTGCCGGATTCTTATAGCTCTCCGAAAGATCTGATGGAACATCCGTAAAAGTGGTCAGTTATTAAAACTCATCCTAGAACGCCACGCTTTTTTGGAAAATGCTTGTATTTGCGTTATCAAACCAATTTTGGACTTGTGACCGGAATACGAACCCTTGGGGTTACATAGTGGTCCTCTGGCGGATCAGGAACAACCGTAAAAGTGATCAATTCGTGATACTCATCCTAGAGCGCTGCGATTTTTTAGAAAATATATTGTCAGAACAATTTTTGACTTGTGACCGTAGATGTGTTATCTGATAAAATTTGGACTTGTGACTGAAATATGAACCCTGGGGCCAGAGTGGGTCTCTGGAAGCTTCGAAACAATTGTAAAAGTTATCCATTCATGATACCAGGGCTGGTAGCGATCACTGCTGTCAAAAATAGTGATTTTTGTGATCATGTTGAAGAAATAAGTGACCAAATAGTAATTTATAGTTGTAAAAATAGTGACTAAAAAGTGACCTAAGAGAAGAATAGACCACCAAATAAATGTTTGATGTTTTAGACTTATTCAATTAGTAGATAGAATAGAAAGTGTATGGCCAAATTAGTCGGGGTATCTACTAACTGCAAAAACCTGGAAACCGGGAATCCTCAGGAAATTTTATATTTCCTTAAAATACCTGGAAGTCTCAGATAATTTAATAATTTTCTTACTAGTAGTGGTGTAGTGGTAAGTGTAATTGCCTCTCTCACCCCAATGGGCCTGGGTTCAATCCCAGTCGTCGCCGTCGGGATTGTCTGAGGCATAAAATCTCTGGTCAGTAAAGTAAAGCCATTGGTCCTCGGTCCACGAATGATCGATTCGGTACTTTTTAAAATATGTTTATATTAGTTGATTAAACACAATATTAATAGAAAATATCTACCTATTTAAGTCTTTATTACGACTTTCTTGCGCCTCTTCTGACAATTGGCCTATTGGAACTAGAAAGCTTTCTACAACTTTATATTCGTGAATCAGAATTTTGTGAACAGCAACCGGTCTATAATACCAGCGGTACAATTCCACAAATTTCTCAGCAGTTGCTCGGCAGTAGCTATCAAACTTTTGACGTAGGACTACGTCTGTGATTTCTATATACACTAGGTACAGGCACACTTTGTGAAAACCAAAAATGGAACGTGTAACGAAATTATGAAAGATTTTGAACGTTAATAACTCAGCTGCCCCTGGACCAATTTCAATAATTTTATCACCTATCGATCAGAAATCTACTCATCAACAATGCTTCCGACTGTTGATTTTAAACAAGAAACTATCGAAAAAGTGGTAAATGTCAAGCATTGTCCAAAAGCGTCGAAATAACTAACAAATCCACCAATAGATCAATGAAAATGCTGAGGTTTTGACAGAACTATGCTGTGGCTACCACAGTATTTTACGTTTGATCGTCCATATACAGTAGCGCCAAAAGCATGCTGTGGGGGGTTCAAAACTTGACCATCTGAAATTATCAATTACATACATGCATATTCTGCTTCCCCAACACTGTCACCAGAGAGCCGTTAGGAGACGAAACAAGTAGAAGTGGAGGATGCAATTGCATAACATTTTGCACACTCATCGTCAAATTCAGAACCACACGCCCCCAACGACCACACAAAATGCTTTCCAGAGTTGTAATCTTGTAACCAGACTTGGCAGAAGGGGTGCAAGTGATTTTGATCGATTATCTTCATCGACTTTCTGTTTCGTTAATAACTCGACGGCAAACACATTCATTGATACATTTGTTATTCTGGATGACATTATTATATAAGAACACGTAGTCCTACGTCACCATTGCGTACAACCCCATAGGGCTGTCCCTTGTAGTTTTTAGTATTTATTTCCATGCCAGATGCCAGAGTTTGAAGGATTGCAGCACATCGTCGTATTAGCTCTAGATCAAGCCCAGGGATATCAGCTGATTTTCTGGATTTTGGAGAAACTTACGAGCGGAATTTCCATCATTCGACGTACCTGCACCTTCTGAGCGCGGCTGATCGACCATTAGACCCATTTCTGTCTTAAACCTGTGCTGAATGTGTTTCTTGCGAGCTTTCACTATGTCCTCGCCTCTCCACGGGCTTGTCATTTCTTCACGGGTAATTTAAAAGAAATATTAATAAAAAGCTCAAAGAATCTAATAGATAGTCCATTATGAAAAGTGCTGACGTCGATGGTTTTACTCTCAACTCGCTTAATGTTGTTCATTTCCTCTGGCGTAGCTTTACAGATGTAACAGGTCTGCGAAGATTTTGTTAATGTTATCGCATTAATGGCTTTTCCATCAACCATGCTTGGTATGCACAGTTGTACACACCAACTGCTCATTTGTTAATTTGAAATTAGTTTTTCTTTAAAGTAATTGATAGATTAGGATCATACTTTACTATAGATATGCAGTAGGAGTAGGTAAAGCTTAACATTTGAATCAACACCAATGAATCTTTGCACTTAAAGTCCAAGATGTGCAGCTTCATTCTCTACACAGATAAAAAATCTGAATTTTAATTGTGATGTAAACATCCATTCACGTAGACTTGTATTTCATTTCACGCAACCGAGCAACTTGCAAACAATGTTGTTTACAAAGATTGGATTTTGTATACAATATTTGCTACATTGCATGAAATGTGTCAGAACTTTACATGATATATAATGTAAACGTATATGATATGTGACGCTCCATTTATGTGCATCGTATTGAACAGCCATTTACACTACTTTTTCGAACTGTGTATAAAGAAATCCTGCCTTCTTTTCTATTTAATATTGGTGCGCCGCGGCTTTTTCAGAAAATTTCAAAATGCGCCGCGGTAGCAAAAAAGTTGGGAACCACTGCTGTAGTCTCATCAAATCCCCATTTAGCAGTCAATACAAAATTATTGAGTTCGTCATCTGTGAAAGTATAAAGCATCTCAATATTTGCTTCTATTATTCTACGGCTTGTGTGTCTCAAAAGAGCCCCAAGTTTTACTTCAACTGAAGTTTCTGAGATCAGCAAGGATTCTTTTTCGGGGTAACAACTTCTCTTTGCATCCAACACTTTGTGGTATGAAGGATAAAGGTTTACCGTTCAGCGCACCTTTACGCAGCTTTCATATTGATTTTTCGTTAGATTTAGATCCAATATCATGGCAAGAGCCTTGAATTAAAACTTAACTTCATTCAATGGGTCTTGTCATTTATAAAAACTCTTTTGAAGACACCCCATTGAAAAAATCACTGTGGAAGTGCTAATGAAAAAAGTTCATGGATTTGGCCTTTCGCACCACTGTGCAGCCCTATGATACTCATCCTAGAGAGTTTTTTTTTTAATGCTTGTATATGTGTTCAGTCCAAATTTGGACTGTGGCTCCTAACCATGGGCCCACAGTTCAGAACATCCATACAAGTGATTAATTCTTGAAATTAAGCGTAGGGTTGTATTTTTGACGGCAATTCTTTCAAACCTTGTCCATTAGACAACTGCGGTGTAACTTCTTCTTCTTCTTGGAATCGATTCGTTAAACGGAAATAGATATAAATTTCCACAGTTTGACTATGCTTTCCACATAATTGCTTCGTGCAATTCTAAACGTCACGTTCTGAATATTGGCTGAACTATGTCCGATACTACACTCTTTCCTTGTCCTTGTTCTATGTTTATTATAGTGCAAGATCGTATTTGAATGGTAGCAGCATTGGGCCAAGCATTTATTTTGTCACACGAAATTTAAGTTTTGTTTGCATACACATTAACATATTGAAGATCATTCATTACTTGCCCACTGATGAGATTTGAACTTGTGACCTTAAGTGTGAGAGGCAGGGATGCTAACCACTATTGTCGCCGCCAAAAACTACTTTCTTCTCCGGTTAGAGAGAGTCTTTCGCTTACTAGGTCAGACACTGTTTCTCGATTCTAGGAGCTACTTTTTTCTCCGGTTAAGGAGAGAAGTTTTCACTTCTAGGCTGAAAGTTTTTTCGGATTCTTAATT